ACCCAGCTCAAGTGCCCAGAAAATATTTCAACAAAATCACATAAATTTTTTTTCAACATAAACAAGGAGATGCTTATAAAGGTACAAGTAGCCTACATAATACCCAATAGATTGTACAAAAAATAATATCACCTGCTACATAATAACCAAAACACTAAACATACATCACAAAGAAATAATATTAATGCCAGGTGGTGGTGGCTCACTCCTTTAATCCAAGCACTTAAGAGGCAGAGGCAGGTGGATATCTGTGAGTTCGAGGCCAGCCTGGGCTACAGAGTGAGTTTCAGGAAAGGCACAAAGCTACATAGAGAAACTGTATTTCAATAAACCAAAAATAAAATAAAGAAAAGAAATAATATTAAAAACTACAAGGCAAAAGACTAACATATAAAGGCAGACCTATCAGAATTACACCTGATTCCCAATGGAGACTCTAAAAGCCTGAAGGACCTGGACAGATGTGCTGTATATTAGAAGAGACTACAGATGTCAGCCAAGACTTATCTTACCTAGCAAAAGTTCCAGTCACCACAGATGGAGAAAATAAGATATTCTATCATTAAAAAATCTATGTCCAAACCCAGCCTTACAGAAGGGGCTGCAAAGAACTCTTCAATCAAGTAGGTTAAACAAATGCATGAAAACAGAGGAAACAAATAATCTCTCACCAGGAGTGTCAAAAAAAAAAAAAAAAAAAAGAGAGAGAAACACACACTCCACTGACACACACACCACATCCATCATGACCACAAGCAACACAACAAAATAACAGGAAACAATCATTGGTCATTGATATTGCTCAATATCAGTGATCTCAATTATCTAATAAAAAAGACACAAACAAACAGAATGGATGTGAAAACAGGATTCATTCTGATGCATCCAAGAAAAACACCTCATCGTCAAGAATAGACATTGCCTATTGGTAAAGGAATGAGAAAAGGAATTCCAAGAAAATAGACCTAAGAACCAAGCTGATGCAGCCAATTTAATATCAAGCCAAATAGACTTGAAACCAAAACTGATTAAAAGAGATGGAGACAGACACTATGTACTCTTCCAAGGAAAAAAATCATTCAACATGACATTTCAATTCTTAACATCTATTCTCCAAAACAAGGAACATTTTGTAAAAGAAACATTACTACAGCTTAAATCATATATTAACGCTCACCTGTTGATAGTGGTAGCCTTAAATTAACCATTAACCAAAATACAGGTCATCCAAACAATACTTAACAGAGAAATACAGGAGTTAATGGACATTATAAACCAAGTGGGTCTAACAGATATTTACAGAATATATCACACAACACAGAAGAATATACCTTCTTCTCAGCACCTCACAAAACATTCTCCAAAACTTATCACATACTTGGTCACAAAGCAAGTCTCAACAGATAGGAAAATTTGAAATAGTCTCCCGTGTCTTATCAGACCACCATCAATTAAAACCAATTCTGAAAAATAAAGAACTCCTGGAAGTATAACCATCTTTGATTTTGAGCTGTACTACAGAGCTATAGTAATAAAAATTACAAGATACTGGCAAAATATAGACACATTGATCAATGAAATCTAACTGAAGGCCCAAACATAAATCCCAAAACCTATGGACACCTGATTTAAAAAAAAATAATCCAGCAGTACAGCAAATTAGGCTGGTTAAACTGAATGTCTGTATGTATGTAGAAAAATCCAAATAGATCCATACTTATCACCCTGCACAAAACTCAAGTTCAAATGAATCAGAGATCTGAACATACAGCCTGATAAACAGATCCTAATAGAACAGAATACAGGGTATAGCTTTAAATGCATTGACACATGAGACAACTTTCTGAACAGAATACCAATAGAGTAGGCAGTAAGATTAATATATTAACTATTAATTTGTTCATTTATGCTTAATAAGCGGTATCTCATAAAACTTGAAACCTTCTGCAAAGCAAAGGAAACCATTAATTGGAGAAAGTGGTAGCCTACATAATGGTAAAAGATTTTTACTAACTCCACATTTGATTGAGAATTAATATCCAAACTATAAAAAGAACTTTAGAAACTAGATATCAAATACCACATAATCTAATCTAAAAGTCAGTTACAGATCTAAACAGAGCATTGTCAATAGAGGACTTTCAAATGACTGAGAAACAAAGAAATGCTCATTGTGGGGGGAAAGGAAATTGTGATTGGGATATATTGTGTGAGAAAACAATCTATTTTCAATAATAAAAAAGAAAATGATTGGATTTATTTGTTTTATTTGTATGAGTAACATGTCTGCACCAATCAAATGTGTGCATTTCTGGTGCTCACAAAAGCTAGAAGATGCTGTCTTACTTCTGTACTGTGTTACTGCTAGATGTAGCATACCATGATACTGCTGGGAATCAAAACCATGTCCACTGCAAGAGCTAGTGCTCAAAACCATTAAGTTGTATCTCCAGCCACATAATTCTCACATTTTATAAAGATAAAATCACATGTGTATATATGGTGATTTGAATAAAAATGGCCAAAATAGGCCCCCTGGGAGTGGCACTGTAAGGAGGTGTGGCCTTGTTAGGGTAGGTATGATCTTTCTGGGGGAAGTTTGCTACTAGGGGTTGACTTTTAGGTTTCAGAATCTCCATCTAGGCCCAGGGTCACACTCTCTTCCAGCTGCTTGCCATTCTAGATGTAAAAATGTCAGCTCATTCTCCAGCACCATGGATGCCTCATGGCCCCATGCTTCCTGTCTTGACAATAGTGAATTAAACCTCTGAACCTGTAAGCCAGCCCCAGCTAATTGCTTTTATTTATAAGAGTTGCTATATCATGGTGTCTCCTCATAGAAGTAGAAACCCTAAGTATGACAGTATATATTACTTGGAGATAGAAAAAAACATTGCTTAGGGAACAATTGGGAGAGGTAAGAAAAAAGAGTGTAGATGGTGTGAGGTATTATCTTTAGTCTTCAGCATATACATGTATGGAAAAAGTAAAACAGAGAAATAAATACGATAAAGTAGAAACTATCCTTATTCACAAAACATATGCCATACATTAACACAAAATAATCTCAGACTGTCTAAAAAATAGAATATAGACTTTGAAGACATCATTTATATTTGTATACAATATACATTAATTATTTTTACTTTGCCATGATGTGACACTTGATGGAAGCAACTTGGTGGACGAGATGTACATGTTAGCTCACAATTCCAGAGGTCACTGTCTGTCATGGCCAATGAGGTACAGGAGATGGAGCAGTACATTTTTACAGGTGGAAACTTTTAATGCCAGAAGGCACTGTCCATGAAGTAGAGGCAGGACAGAAAACAGAGCAGACTATAACCCTAAAAGCCCACCCCAGATAATCAGAACCTTTAGCCAGGCTCTGCTACTAAGACTTTCTAAACCACTGCAAACACTTCCAAAGCTTGGGATAAGCTAGCTAAATACATCAATTGGTGGATGATATTTTGCATTCAAATTATAAGATGAACTATCTAATAAATTGAAATAATTTTAGCAATTGAGCAAATTTAAAAAAAAACATGTAAAGTATAATCAAGTGAAATCAAGGAAATTCAATGTTGTATGAAGTATTTGTCATAGCTTAGAAGATGCAATATTGAATAACATTAATTTACCATATATTTACCTGTCTATAAATTATAATTGTAATGATAAATACTACCACATGGAGGTGGATAAAAATGATATTGCTGAAATTATATGACAATCCATTAAGCTAGAAATAACCAAGGCATCTTGAAAAATGATAATAAAGTGAGAAAACTCAACTAAATTTTTAAGAATTATCATTGAGCTACATTAATGAAAGTTAAGCTAAGCAAGAATTCAGAAGTGCAAATTTCCATAAGAAGTTCAAGGTTAGAAAAAAATTTAATTAATAGAGTCATGATTCATTAAAGTGGCTGCATCTGGGCATAAGGGTGGCTAATTGCTTGTAAGGGCATGGAGTGGATCTTTGAGTGCTACTAGTATCCAATTTCTGTATTTGAAACTTGATCGCACATATGCAGATGCATTAAGCTCTCAATGAGCCTAAAAAATGATGCATTTTTCTCTCTTATTTTTCCACATACGTTGTGCTTCTTCATTACATTTGTAACTCCCTGCTATTGTGTTGGAAGTGACCGTCAAAATATGGAAGGGATGCCATTTGTGATTTTGTTTCCCTGCTTGTTTTTCCCTGCCTCATCCTAATCCTTATGACAAATGAGTACAATGACCTCATTCTTGTTTACATACTCTCTGCGTATGAAAAGATTTTCATTTGCATACAAAGAAACAGACTGGTCATGTTAATCACATCAGGCAAAAATATGACCACTACCACAATTTAGAGCCAAACTTTAATTAAATTGAAGTAAACTTTAATTAAATATTGACCAGGATGATGGACTCTGGCCAGGTTCATTCTGAGTTCACAGAAAATGACAATGAGTCACATTTTGCAGAGCTTTATAGATGCAAACCCATTAGGTTACTTAATTCCCACCAGGGACAAGTACATATTCTGACATGTACTTCCTGCCTGCACACCTCCTGCCTACATAAATCAGGGGAAAGCACACATTCAGTCACATTTTCTACCTATGTACCTCCTGTGTTCATGTAATTAAGCACATCCAGTGCAGTTGGGTTAAACAAACTTGTTTAGGGGAGGGAAAACATATGGCTTGTCATCTTTCATTAATAATAGCCTCCAATATCTCAGAAATTATCTTCCCTGTACAAAGGGCTTACAGTTTAGAGGTATTTTGTTTTATGGATCTCTTAGGTATAGTAACTAAAACTTAAAACATAACTCATGTTCTCATGTTCCCCCTTTAAGTTGTATCCTGAGTCAATTCCTTGATTCTGTGGTGTATAGTTGGAGAGTTTCTCTCCGGGTCCCACTGAGCCCCAGTACACAGCCCACTTATAAAATAAACACACAGACACTTATATTATTTACAAACTGTATGGCCTAATGGCTCAGGCTTCTTGTTAACTGTTCTTATATCTTAAATTAATCCATTTCTATAAATCTATACCATGCCATGTGGCTGGTGGCATGGCTTACCGTCATCTTCACTTGCTGTTTGTCATGGCAGCGGCTGGCAGTGTCTCCCTCACTCAGCCTTCCACCTCCCAGAATTCTCCTCTCCTTGTCCCGCCTACTTCCTGCCTGGCCACTGGCCAATCAGTGTTTTATTTATACAGAACGATATCCACAGCAGTGGTGGGTATCTGTTTATATTGGAACCTAATAACCATAAATTTAGTGGCACCCAGATAGGAATTTATGTATCAAATTAAGTTATTAATGATGCAAGTGCCAACAGTAAATAGCAGAATCAGAAATGCCAAAGGCCCTGTGATGGCTGCTTTCATGGTGGCTATTTAGGAGGTACCTGGAAAAGAGAAAGGGGATCAGTCACTTATTTAATCTCAGGTCCCCGATATTTTTGGCAAAGTTTCATGTATACAGCCAGATTGTTTCTAATGATCTGTGAATGGTTTGCATTGAAACAGCAATTTTCTCTTAAAGGTACACGATACATTCTTGTTCTTTAATAGCAGGTCAAGTGCCCTATTGTATTATAGAGCTGTTTCAGCCAATGTATCTACATGTTGATAGTCCTGGGTCTATTTGTTTTTTTTGGTTTTTTTTTTTTTTTTTTGGTTTTTTGAGACAGTGTTTCTCTGTGTAGCTTTGCACCTTTTCCTGGAACTCATTTGGTAGCCCAGGCTGGCCTCGAACTCACAGAGATCTGCCTGGCTCTGCCTCCCAAGTGCTGGGATTAAAGGCGTGCGCCACCACCGCCCGGATCTATTTGGTTTTAACAAGTACCTTTCCTGATATGCCAATAGGCAGTATAGGTAGCCATTTTGTCCCCTATGTCAGGAAGTTTCCTTTTGAACTAATGCTCCAGCCTGTTGAGGACAAGGGATGATGTACTCTCTTCTGTGATTACTTCCTACTGAAACCAGAAGGTGGTTGTCAGGGCCAAGTGAGGCTGAAATAAAAGTCATAGGCTGGGAGGTGATTCAGGCAATGGGGCATTCATCAGAAGCATCTGGTTACCTGACCCAGATGAAGGGACAAAGAACGCAAACATTAGGTGGGTTGGTTGACATCAGCTTTCAGCAAGTCCAGAGCTCAGAGCTATTGGGTGCAGTTTGTAGTCTGTGTCTGTCAGCCGAGTGGAAACCTGCTGAGATAGATACAGACTAAGAACAGAAGGTAAAGTTCAGGAATTTAAAGAAAAGTCTTACATTTAGAAGTTTCAAGCCATAGTCCTGATAGTAGTGGAAGGGGAGAAGTCCCACAACCAGCAGAGAGAGAGAGAGAGAGAGAGGAGAGAGAGAGATCTCCTATCCTAGAAATTGGCAGATGGGGAAACTTAGGGGCTGTAATTATTTGGAGTCCATTTGACCTGTGAGAGGGGGATCCAGGTCTTATGACTTACTCCATTACCTGAAGCATATTATAGCTTTTATAGCATTTTATAGCTTACAAAAAGAGACAAAAGTTTTATATATATTAGCAATACCATTGTTTGTAGTCTGTACTAAATTCCACACTGTAGAAAAAGCAGCTAACTGGTGTCTATAAAAAAAAAAAACTGGAGTAGTCAGTGCTTTACTAGCTTGTCAGAACACCGTTGATCATGTTAAAACTCTGAACATGTGAAATCGTAGTATAACACTGGGCAGTGTGGCAGTGAAGAAATCTGAAACATTTCCAATTTTTCACATATCTGAAGTCACTTTTTTTAGATGCTGAGATCTAACATAAACTTAAAACTTCCTTTTTTCCACCTAGTTATTTACCATAAGACAAAAGTCGTTGATTACTGAAAGCAGTCATTGTAATGCAAATTCATGTAAATAAAGGAATAGGAAAAAAAATACATCTGAAATCTGTTCATTCTTTAATATGAATACTATTAACAAACCTTTCTGGCTTTTCTCAACAGGAGATCTAGTAGATCTAGAAAAAGCAAGGCCTGATTTTCATATATGAAATGAACTGACAAGGTAGCTGCAGGCTTAGGGAAAGGAGCTGATTGTATCCTGCTGTTCAGCTGACAAAACTAAAGTTGGTCTTGCCATTAATGCCATCGGGGATTTGAGAAGAATAAATTATAGAAGGAAGTACAATCCAAGTGGCCTACATATCAATTAAATGACAGAGATTATCCATTAACTAGACAGTCACCTGAGGTGTCGATTGCTTTGTTCAGGGCAGAGGTCCCAAGGCAGCATCTGTCTTCACCCACCAGACTCAGGTCTGAGAGATATTCTGAGACCTCTAGAGGAGGAATTTGGGAGACCAACCTTTGTTTTTCTATGAAAAGTGGGGCAACCAACTTTCAAGTGTCCTTCTTGTTTTGGTAGTGTACTGGCAGAAAGAAAGACATTGGGGCAGTTTTTCCTAGTGGTTAGCATTATCATAATCCAGGTGGAATTACCAGGCCTCATCATCTTCTTCGGAAACCTTGGAGTTACCACTAGTATATAAGGTCTGTCTGTCATAATAAGCTTTTTCCACTAAAGGTTTTTAAATGCCATAATCAACAGATCCCTGACTAATTTGAAGAACAGTACCTATTAAGCATATCTTAGCTGTATAGACTTGACTTGTTTTTTGTTTGTTTTTTAATTGTAAACTTGAAATCATTTATAGGAGGCCAAATAAAACTTTTCTCCTATAATTAATTACAGTAATACTTAGCGTGACTACAAGTATAGTTCTGAACACATTAAAAAATTTGATTATTTATAAGGTGATTGAACATTGACTTTCTTGTGTTAGTCATCTTTAACAGTTTATAGTAAGTTTATAGATTTTCTAAAATTAGAACTTTATAGCTTTATTCCCATTAGCTTTATTCTTAAAAATTAACAACTTACAAATTGAATTACTTTTATTATCAAAATGAAATTTTAGTTATAAATAAATACCATAAGGATGCTAGCAACTTTCCTGATCCTTTCATACTGCACCATTACAAGATATAACAGTTTCTTATATGACTCAGTTTATCAAAATAGCTAAAGCTCAGCAACTTTAGCAAAGATTAGAAAATGAGACATACATTCTTTTTGTTTATATTTATTTATTTATTTATTTAGTTAGTTAGTTAGTTCTTTGAGACAAGGCTTCTCTGTGTTGTTTTGGTACCCGTCCTGGATCTCTCTCTGTAAACCAGGCTGGCCTTGAACTCAAAGAGATCTGCCTGGCTTTGCCTCCCAAGTGCTGGGATTAAAGGTGTGTGCCACCTCTGCCTGGCAGAGACATACATTCTTAAGCCTGAATAGACCCTAGGTAAGGATAGACATTCTCTTAGCCAGTGGTTCTCAACGTTCTTAATGCTGTGACCATTCAACACAGCTCCCTATTTTGTGGTGTCACCACCCATAAAAATCATTGTTGTTGCTATTTTACAACTATAATTTTGTCACTGTTATGAATTGAATGCAGATATTCAGCATGCAGCCTTTCCCAGGCTATTCCTGTGAAGGGGGTCTTATGACATGCTGTGGATATTGCTCTATATAAGTAAAACACTGATGGCCAGTGACCAGACAGGAAGAATAGGCGGGACACGGAGAGAGGAGAATTGGGGAAACAGGAAGAAGCGGTGAGAGACACTGCAGCCACTGCCAGGACAAGCAGCATGTAAAGACGCAGGTAAGCCACCAGCCACGTGGCAAGGTATAGATTTATAGAAATGGGTTAATTTGAGATATAAGGACAGTTAGCAAGAAGCCTGCCATGGCCATACAGTTTATAAGTAATATAAGCATCTGAGTGATTATTTTATACATGGATTTTGGGACTGCGGTGCTTGGTGGAACCTGGATAGATGCTCTCCAGCAACAATGACCCTTGAAAGGTTTCTACCCACAGGTTGAGAAACACTGCTCTGAACCCTTTGCCAGACTACTCAGGTCATTGTCTTGCTGTATCATAGGCTAGGAATATCCTAGATTCCAGTGGTTAGTGTTTAGTGCTCATAGCTGTGGGCTTAACTTTTTAGCCTCTTTTTTATTTATTTTAAGATGTTACATTAATAATATAAAACATATATAAACATAAAATTTCCCATAGCTTTATACATTTAAATATTTTAAAAGGCTGTTTTAAATTTAATTTAATTTAAAGTTGTTTTAGGGTCCACTTATGTATACCATCATATCATCTGCAAATAGTGAAAGCTTGACTTTTTCCTTTCCATAAAACTATAAAATTTTCCCTTAAAGAAGTTTAAAATGTTTCCACTGTGTGTCCCTGCAACGCCAAAAAATAAAGTTCCTTTTTACTTTAAGAAAAACAACCTGGTACAACTATAATCATGACAAGACAAAAACCAAACTTCCATAGTGCAAAATAATTCAATGCTCAATATCTGGAATTCACACACAATCCTCTGGGCTTTCACAAAGGGGCTGGGTCAACTCTCTGGTCCGACTCTGGACAGCATACACAGCCTGCCTTTCAGGTTCTGGCCTTCTCTATTTTGTTGTGCCTAATCTTTCTGCTGATGATCCCATGGTACCAATAGCTTCACAACTACTAGAGGACCCCTTGCTCACTCTAGGTCCTGCAGCCTTGCCACACACTTGCAACTCTAAACCCTTCTCTGACTCCAAATCTTTAAAATCAACACCACCTGGGGGACTCTGACATTACAAAGTTTGGCTGTCAGTTCAAAGTACATTCTTGTACATAAATACATGAAGATGCAGTTTTAGTACCTTATTAAACAAGCATTGTTTTAAAAATCTTTCATAAACCTTGCTTTCAGGACAGAAATTATCATACAAAAATCGATCCTAACCAGAAATATCTTGAAGACGTTTTATTGCCTCCTTTGTGGGCCCACATCATGTGGTCACTTTTAATTGTGGCGGTGACAAACTCACATGACATCCATGCTCTCCAACTCTAGCAAAGGTGGTTGCCAGCCACATGGCTGTTTCCATCCTGATGGAGGATAGAAGTCAAAATGGTGCTAAGCCACATGTTGCTTATATCACAAGATGGAGCACATGGCATGATTCCTTAAAGATTACCTATGAATAAATTTTTAAATATTAATCCTGTGTTAGGATTTTAAGCTAACTTTTTTTCCGCAGATTTTATGTATTTTAACCATACCCAATAAACTTGCAAATCTTGAGATAAGGTTTATATCTTATCAAAAGTCTCAGGCAATTAAATGAAACCAATACTTTTTTCTTTAGCTATTTTGTTTTGTTCTCTTCTTTCTGTCACAAGGAATGAAGGAATTAATCTTCTGAGGCCATGCCTCAACCCTGGAATTCCAGAGCAAAGGTCTGGCTTTAGAATTTGGGTGAGTGCTTTGAATTTCACTAAGGCTTCCAGAAAGTGTGAATCCCACTCTGTGAAAACAAGACTATTACTATAATTTTGAGCCAAATTTGAAGCAAGCTTTAATTAAATACTGTCTGGGATAATGGACTCTGGCCAGATCCATTCTGGAGTTCCCAGAAAATGGTGATAAATCACACTTTTGCAGAGCTTTATAAAAGCAGACCCATAAGGTTACTTATTTTCCACCAAGTCCAATCCAGGGCAAAAACATCTCCTGACAAACTTCCTGCCTACATATCTTCTCTCTACATAAATTGTGGGTAAACATACATCTTTACTATGTATCTCCTGCTTATCTATGATCACGAAGATCCAGTGCTATTGAGCCAAACTAACTTATTGAGGAGAGTGAAAACATGTGGCTTTGTAGCTGGAGAGCTTCTCTCCATGTCCCACCAAGCCCTCAGTTCAACAACCCACATATAAAATAATCACTCAGACTTTTATATGACTTATAAACTGTATGGCCATGGCAGGCTTCTTGTTATCTACTTCTATCTTAAATTAACCCATTTTATTAATCTATAAGTTGCCATGTGGCTAGTGGCTTACCGGTACCTTACATCTTGTTTGTCATGGCACTGGCTGGCAGGTCTCTCCCACTCAGCTGTAGCTAGAGTTTTCCTGCCTTGTCCACAGTCAGGACAAATCTTTGTTACCCGCCAGTCCCACAGCTGCTCAGACCCAACCAAGTAAACACAGAGACTTAGATTGCTTACAATCTGTATGGTCATGGCAGGCTTCTTGCTAACTGTTCTTATAGCTTAAATTGATCCATTTCCATAAAGCTATACCTTGCCACGTGGCTCATGGCTTACCGGCATCTTCACATGCTGCATGTCCTGGAGATGGCTGGCAATCAGAGTAATTTGACATATAGATCATCCCACAGCACTTCCCCTTTTCTTTTTTTTTTTTCTTTCTTTTTATTTTAAAGAGGAAGATTTTAACTTTTACACATCTCCAAAGCCAGCTTGGTATATTTGGGAATTTGGGCATAGCTTCTCTTACTACTTCATGCTGGAGGGGGGCGCTGTATCTTATGGGGATATAAAGAAAATTTTAGGATTATGGATTAGTCCATGAGGGTGTACTGTCTGAGCCAGTTGCCTTGAACCCGATCTGGATGTTGGAATATCTGGGCCATGGTGTCATCGGAGACCTTTCAGGGGGTCTCGGCTGGTCAAATCTGATGTGTCTTAATCTGGAAAAAATCCATAGCCTCTGGCTTTCTGTGGAAACAAAAGCAGAGCCTCTTTTCCAAAGCAACATATCCTTACATCTACATTTTGAAGTCAAGGTGCCTTTAAAATATACATTTTGGCAAAACTCAACAGCTTTTGCAATCAAATATTTTTCTTCAGTTATGACTATCAAAGAGAGCATAATCCAGATTCTCTGTGTGGTAGCCATCTTTACATGGCTTATTTTTTATATTACCTTGAGTCTATTGCTTTAAACTACAGATTTCTAAGCACTGGTACTGTGGCTGCTGGCTCTACCCACTTCAGCTTCCCAACATGGTGGTGGTACGTTTTCCACCAGCTCTGGGAGACATCAACTCTCAGAAATAGTGGGTCTATGCTTCTATCAAAGCAGCATATAGCCCAGAAACTTCTTTTTGTTTTGTACTAGCAAAGGTTAAATCCACAACACAGCTTAATGTGCCACTTGCAGAGGCTTCATTCCTGCCAAACTGCAGGTCAAGCGCACACTCCAGAAACCTGCCATAGTAGCTCAAAAACACAGGCTGCCACTAACTTGAGAGAAACAACTAGGAACTGTTTTTAGCTCCATTTTTAAATCTTTTTTCTCAGGTTTTAGGTGGAAACTCTTGCCAACACGTTGGGCACCATTTGTAGCTAGAGTTTTCCTACCTTGCCCATAGTCAGAACAAATCTTTGTCACCCACCAGTCCCACAGCCACTCAGAACCAACCAAGTAAACACAGAGACTTATACTGCTTACAAACTGTATGGCTGTGGCAGGCTTCTTGCTAACTATTCTTATAGCTTAAATTAATCCATTTCCATAAATCTATACCTTGCCACGTGGCTTGTGGCTTACCAGCATCTTTACATGATGCTTGTCATGAAGGTGGCTTGACTCTTTCCACCTTCCTGTTCTTTCTTTTCTCCTCTCTGTTAGTCCTGCCTATACTTCCTGCCTAGCCACTGGCCAATCAGTGCTTTATTTATTGACCAATCAGAGTAATTTGACAAACAGACCATGTAACCAACCGTCTTATTAAATAAGAAACTCAGAGCCAATTCAAAGAAGAAAGCCAAGAGGTCAGAGCTAAGAGCCTTACCTGCCTGCTGCAGCTAGCCTCTTCAGCCAAGAGACCTCTTAGAAAGAGAGCTACTTCCTGTCTGTCTTTATATAGACTTTCTGTTCTGCCTTTTCATTGGTTGTAAAACCAACCACATGACTGCCTTGTCACTGTCTGTTGGCTCTATCCTTGAACACACAGAGATCTACCTAGCTCTGCCTACCAAGTGCTGGGATTAAAGGTGTGTGCCACCACCACCCAGCTTTTGCTATGGCTCTAATAGCTCTGATCCCATGCAACTTTATTTATTAACATACAATTAAAATCACATTTCAGTACAAATAAAATATCACCGTATTCAGCCTTCCACTTCCCAGAATTCTCCTCTCTCATTGTCCTGCCTAAACTTCCTGCCTGGCCACTGGCCATCAGTGTTTTATTTATATAGAGTGATATCCACAGCACTTCCCCTTTTCTTCTTTTTCAAAAAGGAAGATTTTAACTTTAACATAGTAAAATTACATATAACAAAACAATTATCAAGCAAGAGTTATGGTTACGATATTAAAGAAGATATCCTATCTATCTTATATTTGTGAGCTTAAGGTTTTATATCTAACTTAACTTTTATCATAACTACAGAAAATTGTAACTATCTAGCTTCAACTACATCAAAGACCTCATAAGGATATAATATTATCTGAGAAATGGGAGAAGCATGCAAGCAACTTTCAGGAGTCTTGCAGGGGAGACAGAGACAACTGACAGCCTGGACAGTCACCTAATGATCCTTTGGCTAGAGTGTCTTGGTCATTTTTCTCAGTGTCCTGTAGAATGTCTGGCAGTTTTCTCTGTGAAACAGGAACATAAAGGACCATTTTGCCAAGCAAAGTTCAGTGGCCACCTTTCTATGAGTCCTGCATGTACAGTCGATCAAGGAGTCCAGGCAAGAATAGTTTCTTGCCCAAATGGCTATTTTTGCCAATGTGAATATAAACTCCATATGGAGTGTCTTCGATGTCCATCCTCCTCTCTGAAGTAAATTGGTGCTGCCAGGAGCAGACATATCTCATTGTCTAGAAAGTCTAAATTTTTAAAACATTTTAAATGCCCTATTCTGTATGTCTTTGAAGTATTTGAAGATTACATATCTATCTGAAATATATCTATGTATACCTAGAAGACTTAACTAACATGGCTACGAGTATGATTATCATAGATGACTAATTATTAATCTATTTTTAATTATACATTACAATTTTAAATGAGCTGTACAAACATAACACCTTAAACAAGAGTAGAAATATAAACACAGAATAACATAATTAACTTTAAGTTTGTATCAATAAACCAAAATCTATACCAATATAAAACATTTTAAACAAGTTGTTGCTCTTTAAAATAGGTTTAGCAATTTATCCTTTTATCCTATCATATCTATATATCCTTTTATCCTATCATATCTATATCACATCTTACATAATCAATATAGCATCCAGCATTTCAGAAAGTATCTGTCCTGGTGCAAGGGATATACAGCATAGTCATTTTTGTTTAAAGGATCTCTCAGGGACAGTAATTAAAAGTTAAAATATAATTTTAGCTCTCACAGTCACTCCAATCACTCACCTGGATTTGATTTCAATATGCTCATTTTTATTATATATATTATAATGGAGATGTTATCTTTTTTTTTTGCTAGCCATTATTTTACACAAATGCTACTTGTTTTAAAGTTTTTATATTCAGAATTGTATTTCTCCCCTCTCTTTCCTTTTCATTCACTTTTCTTTCTTTATATTTATTCTTTTACATCAGTACCAGGTATTTAGGCCATGCCTTGTGGACTGCGATAAAGCACTCTATGAGTGAACTTGCAACTTTCGTTACAGAAGTACTTTTTAACTACACTGAATTAGTTTATCATTCACACAGTACTTGGAGTCTTTTTTTTTTTGATAGCTGGCCTTAAAATCAAGGCAATCGTCCTGCCTCAGTCTCTTGCTTCTTATATACAACATAGTGTTTTGTAGGAAAAAATTTTGGAATTATTTTCAAAATGAATAATGACTACAAAAAGAAAAACAGGAAAAAAAATTCTCAAACAGGTCAAATGCCTAAATGGATGAACAACAAAAAGTAAAGCCAAGCCACAATAAACTTACAAATAAATTCAACAAAGCATATAAAACATCTCTACAAGAAATCACAAATTGTAATGAAAATAGTTTTGCAATAATACAAATACATGGAAAAATAATGATCAGCCTTCTGAGCAACTTGAGGCGAGGCAATACAAGGAATTTCAGGAACGCAAAAGACCCAGGATGTTCTCTCACATCTGTGGAAGCACAGGTCTATAAGAATAATTTGTGGTCTTTACCTTAAATGGTGGCCCTCACTATTTAGTTGGGACTCAGCCCCAAATAAAGGATAGCTACAACTCAAATAAAAATTCAGCAGATTACCATTACCAATGGGTGGTCTCTCAGTATTTTCTAACTCTGTAATGCTAGCATATGTTTGTGCTCTGGAATAATTAATACTGGTAATACAATCATACTACTAAAATCAGTCTGCAAATTGAATATAATCAATGACATAGCAATGCCACCCACTTCCTGCAGAATGAGGAAACTACTTCAGCAGGGGCCAGATTCTGAAACTGTGTCAATCACAAACATGCTCAGTGTTCAAGATAAATTGTACCAGAAGATGCTGGGAAGAAGCATCACACCCACTTTTAGCTATATTATAAAATTACAACCCAAACAAGGTATTAAATGAAAAAAAAAAGTCCCAACTCATTGTCAGGGTTATTCTTTAATCCCAAGCATTGTATCTGCAATGTACAAAGCAGGAATGAGAAAAGAATTTGTAAAGTAGAAAACAGAAAATGATATTTCATAGGCTGATTTATCTGGATGGTTCTACATCATTGATTGATACTTTGGTATATGGACTGGACTGTCTCAAAGGCAAAGTGAAAATTATTCTTTGGTTTGAGTGCTTTTGCATATAGGTTATTGGCATGGTATTAATCACGATGAAAGAAGAAATAATATTGAGAAAAAGTAAATTTTAAAAAGTACTTTATTTTGCTTTTATGTAATTTACATATTTATTCTTGTTTTAGAAAAGGAATTAATGTATTCACTATTGATGATGTAAGTAGCAATATACTTAACAATTGCATGTCTTAAATACTGGAAATCATTTTTTTTCATCCACTTAAATACCTTCTGAGCTATAATGCTCTTTATTTTATGGTAGATAGACTTATAGAAAAATATGAAATATATATTTGAATTCTTTCTTACTAACAAAATGAAACAGAGATTTGACTTTATCAAATATTCAGTTAGATTTATTAATTTACAGATGCTTTTCCAATACTTATACACTATTTTATAAGAAAATGTAAATGCTTAGTAGATATAAAATCTGGGTAATTTTCAACTTTAAATATATTTCACATTATTTTCTAAGAAAGTATTACAAGATAATTTTATTTCTGAAGAATAAATTTATAAATGACTAAAATAAAATATTTCTCCCTTTTAGTTCCTATATCAAGCCTCACACACAAGCGTTTTATAAAATAATGTGATTTATTTGATAAATTATTTTCTTCTTTATAGAAAATATAAAATATATATTAACATATTGTATTTATGCATGCAATTTTATTTGTATGAATGAATATTTTATCTATGATTATAGTAAGATGTACATACCACAGAAGAAGATCAAGAAATAATTTGGGTTCTTACAAGGAGCAGCACATTTAAATTTTAAAAAGTGAATTCAGTATACCACTGTTTACACATGCTTTGAAACTTCTGCTTTGAAACTTCTTTAATTACCTGGGCAGTAGTAGCACAGGCCTTTAATCCCAGTACTCAGAAGGCAGAGACAAGTACATATTTGAGTTTGAGGATAGCCTGGTCTACATAGGGAGTCCCAGAACAGCCAGAGCTACACTGAGAAACCCTGTCTTGAAAAACAAAGAAACAAAAACCCCTCACACACACACACAATCTCTCACCTTCTATTTGTCTTCTTTAATCTGGTAACCATAATTTCATTCTAAACTTGGTAATTATTTTATATTTTATTGTTATGCAGATGATTATATGGATCCACATTCATTTTACAACCTGTGATTAAATTCCTTATAATGCTTTTTTTTTCATATTAGTGTGTATTTGTACTACTGGGAATGGAAAGAAAATATTTGAACTGAAGCAGATTATTATTATTTTTAGCAATGGCATAGTATTTCTTGTTAGCTATAATTCTTCTCCTATGGGCTGACTGTTTGAGAAGCACCATGCTAGGCTTCCTGTATAAGAGTCATGGCATTTAAAAAGAACTGTGTAGTTAGAAGTCTCACTAGCATAAAGGAAGAGAAACTCAGTTAAACTAATTTTATCTATTTTTCCTTGGAATCAGAGGAAATTCCTTCTTTACCTACTTATTAGCTTCAAGGGAAATTGATGATATATAAGATAGAAGCCTAATCAAGATCAAATTGTATCTGCTCTTAAATATAACCATATGGGCCATTGTTTTGGGGGGCTTCTAAGTTTCAAGTGTTCTTCATATCCAAGGTTTGTTCTTCAGTCAACATCATTGTTCAGAAAGACCTACTTCTGAAAGCCTAAAAACCATTTTTCTAAAGTACTCATATATGATATCCACTCATTAATTCAATCACTCAAGAAAATCAAAGACACACATCCCAGTAGAGGTTTTCTCAGCCTGAAAAGCCTTTCTTCATTGTTTCCCCTGCAGCTGATATGACCCTAAGAGACTCTGACAATCACTCTGATCACTGTTTTGTTCTTTGAAGATTGGTTCTAGTGTGGAATCCTAACAT